CAGGAATACAACGATCCAAGACATTTCTGAAGGACTTGTGATGAAAAATGCTATCTACCTCCAGAGAAACAACTGATGGAGTCTGAATGCAGATCAAAGCATACTTTTTTTCACTTTATTATTTTTTCTTTTGCAACATGAAAATGGTTTTATATGATTTCATATGTATATTTGACATCAAGGTTCTTGCCTTCTCAATGGGAGGGGAGGGAGAGCATTCTGAATTGAAAATTTTTAAAAAAGTGAATGTTGAAGATAAATGGTAAAAGTGTATATATAAATATATATTTAAGTTTGATCTCCATAACCGCTTTGTGAAGTCTAGAATAATCAACAATAAATCAAGCCCTGATTGTTGAGACAGACAAGACAGACAGACAGACAGACACACACACACACACACACACACACACACACACACACACACAAAGTGCCAGTTTGGGTATAGTAGTAAGGCTACTCAGGGAACCAGGAAAACTATATCATCCCATTTATGATCATGTGATTTAGCACTGGAGGGGCCTTAAAGATCACCTAGCCCAGGGGTTCTTAACCTTTTTTTGGTCATGGACCACTCTGGCTCTCTTGGGGAAGCTAATGGACCCTTTCTCAGAATGATGTTTTCAAATAAATAAAATTTAAAAGGGTTACAAAGGAAACCAATTATGTGGAAAGTTATTAAAATATTCAAATGAAAAACAAGTTTAGGGACTAAGAACTCCTGATCTTGCCTAATCTCATCATTTTAGGGATGAGGAAACAAAAGCCCAGAGAGAATTGAGTGAATCCAGGTCACACAGGTGGTAAATTGCCAAGGTCCTTCAATCAAATTTGGCCTCTTTTTACTATATCATGTAGCCTCTCACTTTTGGTCATTCCTTCACCCTGATCCTATCATCCTCAAGGTTCTGAGACCAGCCCCTATTCCAGAACACATGGCCAGGTCTAACCACTGTTCATAATTCACTCACCCAGTGCCTGGAAATATGGTTGTGCACAGAATGGGTTCAAATTATGTATCTATCCTGTTATATGAATAATACAATTGGAATGTTGCCTTCTTTGGTTTGGCCATTCACTTAGCAAATGGGTTGGGATAAGCAGAATATGTTTAGGGACGACAGGGGCAAGATACGTCTAGGAAGAGAAACCCATCCTATATAAATCAATAAAGGTAGGAGAAAAAAGTCCCTTATCTTAGCATTCAAGAGACTGCCTGAGAATTCAAAATAATTCAGTTTAATGAATATTTATTTAATGCCTCTTTCTGGGCTCAGGGTGGTGGTAGGCAATGGAGGAAAATATAAAACTCAAGAAAGTCCCTGGCTAGCAGGCCTACAGTCTGTTCAGGGATGGCAAGTCAACAGAAGAAATTATTCTAGCCAATATTAAGCATCTAAATGAAATTGCTTGCTAAGGAAAGCTTCTTTTTTCAGGAAGCTTAGAACCTTCAGCAATTTATGCTAAAAAAGGGACCCTCCCTAACTCCTAGTAATAATTCCCATTTATGTTGTGGTTTGCCCTTTGTTCTTGAAGAAGACCATGACATCAGGAAGGTGACGCCATGACTTGCAAGTGAATTGGATTACAGTGAGGGAGAGCTGTGTAGTCACCAGCCTCGCTTTCTCCTCCAGAACCATCTGAGTCCAGTGGCCAGGTATCAATCAGCACAACCGGAAATGGCCCCATTTACGTAGCATGTTAAGGAAGGCTGGTTGGATTAATGAACTGGAACTGGAAGCAGCCTTAGAGGCCATCTTGGGCAACCTTGTCATTTTACAGAGGAAGTGAACCTCCAAAAAGTTAAGTGACTTGAGATAGTAAGTCACAGCATTAGAGATAGCACTGGGACTCAAACATGGCAGTCATCTATCTGACTCCAAGACTGGAACTCTTTTCCCTATACCATACTGGTACCTAAAGGTTAGAAAGAAATGTGAAAAGGCAGCAGCAGCCATCCTATGGAGAGCACTTGATGCCCAGATCTAGATGAGTTCCTGGTCAGTGGTCTTCCCTCTCTGAGGAAGCTCAGAGACAGTGGGGCAAGTAGGAGGAAGGCAGATGCTACTGTTACTCAGGTGGAATGTCAAAGAAAAATTCATTTCTACAGAACTTTGCAAAGTACTTTCCTCATAACGAGCAAGTACAGAGTGTCCCAAAAGCCTCAGTGCAGTTAAAACTTTCAGCCACCCTATACCGTTCTCTCCAATTTTATGGCTTTTTATTTTATGGATTTATTGATAACTTTTATTCTGACGCAACAGATACTTTCCAAGCAAACCATTTACAAAATATATTTCCTGATAAACTGACAAAAAGGCTACTTATCCCTTAACTCTGGCATTATGGTACTAAAATCAACTGGAGTTTTGTTCTCTCTCTCTGTGTTGACATTATTTACATTGCTGTATCACCGCTACATTATCAAAATCGAGAGGGTAGCACACATAACTTCCATATTACAGATGACTCTTAAGGGTCTGCTGAATATACATAAGCTAAACACAAGGTTATGCTTCAGGTTCTGGCGTCCAAGGCCATCCACAACTTAGCTACGATGTACTAATTTTTGTTGGTGTCCAGTTGTTTCAGACTCTCTGTGACCCTATTTAGGGCTTTCTTGGTAAAGATACTGGAGTGGTTTGCCATTTCCTTTCCAGCTCATTTTACAGATGAGAACACCGAGGCAAACTGGGTGAAGTGACTTGCCCAGGGTCACACAGCTAGTAAGTATCTGAGGTCAGATTTGAACTTGGGAAGATGAGTCTTCATGACTCCAGGCCCAGCGCTCTATCCACTTTGCCCCCTTGCTGCCCCAGCCTTATCTAATACTACTCTCCTTCATGTCTTCTATACTCAAGACAAACTCAGTCCCCTCCTCTTGCCATATCCCATCTCTGTACTGTTGTTCAAACTGTCCTCCCCCAAGTCTGGGACAGTGTCCCACAAGAGCCAACTTGGTTGCCACCTCTGTCATGAAAACTTCCTTGACACCTCACCCCTCTGTCCCCTCCCCCTCCACCTACCTCCACACAGCTGGTATGTCCCTGTTCAAAGCTCTTATAAGATTTTCTCATAGGTCTTTCTCTAATAGTAACTGATGCATAAAATATTTCTAAAGTTTGCAAAGTGACATCTCACTGGAGTCTCACAACCATGTGAAGTAGGTACTAGAGGTATTTTACATTTGATAGGTAAGGAAACAGGCTCAGAACAGCTGGGATTTGCTTGTAGTAACACAGCTAATAAGGAGAGATGCACTTCATCTCACTTTCTTTTCTCATTAATTTGTGCATTTCTACCTGCTCATTTTATCAGAAGCTTCTTGGCTTCTGTCTGATACAGCTTCGTATCTCCATTGCCTAACTGCACATCCTGCACGAATAGTCAATCATTAATCCCTGAACTGAATGAAAGTACTTCAGGGAGCCAAGAGTTCCCACCCACCCTGAGTCCCCTAAACAAAGAGGTAATTAGCTGGGGAAAGGTTGGGTACAACAAAAAGGGCAGATGCAGCAGTAGCTTGGGCAGTGGCAGCTAGAAGCTGGTGTGCATCTCACACACACAGGTACTGGAAATTTCCAGCCCTTGATTCAGATCAGTGGCTTTTTCATCTCATTTGGCTGGGCAAAAAAATCTCAGAGCCCACCTGCCACTCGGAAAAACAATACACTTCACCAAATGGGCAGACTGTCACTTTGGATGAGACACTAATGCTTTCTATTCAGTATCATATTCAGGGGATTAATAATTCATGCCAGAAACTGTTATGATGTCAATTTTCTAAACTTTTAATATTCCATTTTTTATAATCACAAGGGACTTGCCCTCAAGAAGCCCCCTTTCCACCTCCTCCCACTCCTAAAATGCTCTACAGATGATACTTTGATAATCACAGGGCTATACACTGTAAGAGGCAGCTAGATGGTGCAGTGGATAGAATGCCTGGCATCAGACACTAGCTGGTGACTCTGGGCAAGTCACTTAACCTTGTCTGCCTCAGTTTCCTCATCTGTAAAATGAGCTGGAGAAGGAACTAGCAAGCCACTCCAGTGTCTCTGCCAAGAAAACTCTAAATGAGGTCACAAAGAGCAGGACACACGAAAAGCGACAAAAATATTTTGTGAAGAATGAAATATATACTCTAGGACATGGCTAATATGTAACTGTTTTGCTTGATGATTTATTGCAAGGATTTACTTCTTCCTACATTTTCAAGTGGAAAAATTAGAAGGGAGATGCTCTAAGCAACAGTATTGTTTAAGAAAAAAAAGAAAAGAAAGAAAAAAAGGTCATTGAAGGATTTTGTTCCAAATCCCCAGAAGCAAAACAGAACAAAGTTCAGGAGGAAACAGGGCAGTTTTGAAAGTAATATATTGAATTTATTATGTATATGTGTAGGAAAAAGACAAGTTGTAAAAAAGTCATAGTTTCAAGTACAATCCTCATTATCTGATCTACTTTGTATACAGCAGAGGCATCAAACACGTAGCCATCAACACTCCCAAGGACCAGATTAAAATGTAACAGGGAAATATTTAACAAAATAAAAATACAATACAACATATATAATATTACTGTGGTTTTCTAAATCAATATGAAGCCTGTAGGGATCCCTATATATGGTTTAGTGGGCCCCATTTCTGTTGAATTTGACACTACTGATACATGGAAACGAACATCTTATTTGGTGTTTGTTAAGTTCAGAATGTAAAAAAATTAAAAAGAAAATCACTGGGCAGTTAAGAGACACGGTTCAGGTCTCTGGTCTAATCCATCTTTCCCCTCCCCACTTTCCATACAGCTATGCTGGATTCATAAGGACAGACATATATACCCTAAGAAAGTCAGTGATAAAAAGAAAGGCCTCATATACACCAAAATAGTTATATTTGCATCGCTTTTCATGGTAGCAAAGAACTAGAAACAAAGTGGGTGCCTACTGCTAAACAAATTGTGGTTCATAAAGGTAATGGAATGTGATGAATACAGAGAAAGATGGAAAGAGTGACATGAACTGATGCAGAGTGAAGTTAAGCAGAAACAAGAAAACACATAAAATGACTACAACAATGTAGATGGAAATAGAAACAACAAAACCACAGAAATTGAATGCATAAAATGAAAATGACCAAGCCTGCCTCCAAAGAAGAGATGAGAAATGAATCTCCCTCTCTTCTTTGTAGAAATAGGGTGCTATGGGTGTGGAAAACCACAGGTAATGTTGGACTGGATGTGTCGGTCAGTTTTGCTGAACTGGTTGCTTTTCCTCTTTGTCATTCTATGTTAAGAGGCATGTCTCTCAGGGAGGGGTAGAAAAGAGGCATACACGGGGAAATGTAGGTGATGTTTAAAAAAGATAAATCAATAAAGTCTAGAAATTAAATAATTTTTTTAAACCCAACAACCCTGAGCCTCTGTTTGGGTCCACTTCCCCAAGGCTTCAGCACAACTGACAGCCAGGGAACAGTGGGTGGCAGACATCTCGGGTAGCCACGTGTTCAGTTCAGATTTGGCTGAAGCAACTCTAACTGGCCTAAGTTGGTAAGAGCACCCCTCCACACCCCGCCCAAGTTAGTCTCTAACTCGTTTCCATTTCTCCCTTCTCCACCCTCCCGGACCCATCATTTGTGCCGCAGGAGAAAAGGGTCAGAGCTGACCTCTCAGCATTCCGGAGTAGCCACTGGGATGAGCAGTCAAACTTGTCTGACTGTTCTTTCTCTTCTGAAGAGCTGGCAGCGCAGGCAGGTTAAGGCTGAGGTAGATGTTCTTCAGAAAACTAGCGGGGGAGGTACCTCAAGAGGTCAAACGTCTTAGGGCAGCCTGCAGAGGTTTTCTCAGGAAGGTAGCGTTCAACTCAATTGCAGAAGCGAGACAGACTTTGTGGGCCTCTGTGATCTTGGAGGCAAGAAAAGAGGCAGTTCATGGTTAAATCCATCCTTCCCCTCCCACACCAGATATCCTGGATTCATAAAGACAGGAGGAAGACAGGCTTGGGTCAGGGGGAAAGAATGTCGAGAAGCCATCTCTGAGTAACCCAACTTTATTCTCACCAGAAGCGGGAAAATGAGGCATGGCCAGGTGTACCCAACTGTCCAAACAGCAGGAGTTCCTGAGTCAAAACTGCCCTCCTGCCTTCCAACCCAACCAGAAACCTCACCTGATCTTGGCACTTTGTCACAACCGTCAGGAGCAGCTTGGCATAGCCCACAGAATCAGCAGCGGCCAGGCCTTCGCGAGACAGCTTCTGCACCAAGACACTGAAGTTCTCTGGGGACAGGCCCACCTGTGTTTGGGGAGGCAGAGAGAGGAGGGCGTGGGGGAGGCTACAATGGAGGAGGCGGGGCACTTTCTGATGACATATCCCCTTCCTCTAGGTGCAGTTGAAAGAACAGATTTGGGGTCAGAGGACCTGAGTTAGAATTCTGGTACTCATTACCTGAATGACCTTGGATTATTTACTTCACCCCTGAGCCTCCATTTCCTCATCAATGAGAGTGACAACACTTGCATCATCTATCTCACAAGGCTATTGTGAAGATCAGCTCAGATGAATGGATGGCAAGCACTTTTTAAATGAAAAGCACCATATAAATATGGACCACTATTACTGCGGTCAACCAGACCTTGGGGAGAAGCTATGCCCTGGATCAGTGGGAAGAAAACAATGCCAGCCACAACAAAAACAGAAGTACAGAGCAAGAACTGTGCCCGGAGCTCACCAGGGGCTAGAAAGCAAGTTTGGAAGCCCCGTGTCAGGAAAGAAATAAGGCCTTTCTGAGGTCTCCCCAACTTCTCATGCCTCTCCCCCAAATTACCTTCTATCTACTATTATGCATATCAATGTAAGTAGTTACTTACGTGTTGCCTCCCTCATTAGAATTTGAGCTCCCTGAAGGCAGGGATATAGTTTTGTCTTTCTATGACACTATGGAAAATGGGAGTAATTGATACCAGCACGTACCTCCCAGAGCTGTTATGGGGATCAAGTGGGAAAATAATTGTGAAGTCCTTAGTGCAGTACCTGGCATGTTGGTAAGGTTTTCTATAAGTACGAGTTTCTTTCCCCTCTATATTCCTAGCACTTGGCATAATGCCTACCTAGCACGTAGCTCTTCATAGATGTTTGCTGACTGACTATTCCTGACTCCCCAGCCACGCAGTGTGGTGTACTAGAAAGACTTCAGGATTTAGAGTGGAGGGCCTGGGACCACATCCCAGTTTGGTCACTCACTCCCTATGTACACCACCTGATCTCTCTGGTTCCCAATTTCTTCCTCTGTAAAATGAGGGGGTTGGGCTAAATCATCTCCAGGGCCCTTTCTGGCTCTAAGTCTGCGATCCTGAGATCACTGATGGTCTGGAACCTTTACCTGCCGCCCTAGAAGGGACTGCATCACTGTGAAGGTCTCCTCTCTCCAGGGCAACTCCAAGATCTGTCTGCAGAGGAGAGGTCCTAGGTAAGAAGGAGGGGAAGGAGGAGAGGGAACAACTCTGCCCCACCTCCTGGCCCGCCATATTCTTCCCACCCACCAACAGCAGGATCTCAGGGGCAGGAGGAAGAGGGAAATGAACAGGAAGCAGTAAGCAAGAGCCCTTCATGCAGCAGGTATCAAGTGACCCTGCTGCAAACTCCTGAACTCGGGCATGTTCCTGCTCTCTAGGAACTTAGACTCCAGCTGACTACACACAGCACACAGTGAAGGAGAAAGCCCACTGGACCTGGCATCAGGAGACGTGGCTTCTAACCTGACCTGTGCTACTTAATGGCCTACGCGACCCTGGATCATTCATTTCTCTGGGCTTCAATTTTTTCATCTGTAAAATGAGGGGGTTGGCCAGGATGAGGTTGCAGCTCTGTATTCTAGGAGCCTGGGACCAACATAGAGCTTGTCTCTGTGTCCCCAGAAGCGCCTGCATCTCTGTGAGAGTCTCCCAAGTGATACAGGAATACTGACCAAAACCTACAAATGGTTCTATGTGGAAGCTGTAGAAAGTGGGTAATGAAAGTCCTGAAGACACAGAATGTGGGACAAAGAGTCAGGAGAGGGAGCAGAGGGAGCAAAATTAATCGTAAAAGACTTCCTGCTGAAGATGACCCCACCTTCATGAAGCCAATGGAAGTCAATCTTCAACAAGCACCTTCTTTTTGCTTGGATACAGATTTTGAGGGCCAAGTAGCTACCATTATGCTGTCTACTGAAAAGTAAGAGTTCTAGGCCTTTTAAAATTTGTTTGTAAAAGGATGCACAGAAGGACATTGTATGTGCTCCAGGAAAACCAACAGGGAATTGTGCTTAGAAATATATGTGTATACCATTGGACTCCTCATATTGGAGGCTGACATTTATATGTTCAGTGTTCATTGACAGATGTGCTATCTATGAGAAACTGCATTTGGTAAAAAAGAATTAAAAACACTACATAAGACAAATGAAAAACAGCAATGTACATTATTCAATAAGTAAAGTAGGAAGCCAAAAAAACCCCTAATTCCTTCTGCATTTGCAATCAGTATTGTACAATACACAGTGTATCTTATCTCTACTCTAAATGCCATTCTGTACAATTTGGCACTCATAACATCAGTTTACAGCGCTGTCATATTTAATGCTACCTCGTTCTCTAATTTTTCACATATGGACACATACTATCTCTCAAACTAGACTGTAAGCCCCTCTGAGGACAGAGGTGACATCTTTTGCTTCCCCCTCTCATCCCCTTCCAATAGGACCTAGCATGGGACTGTGTGCAGGGGCCGTGGTCGATGCATGCACGACTGACTGAGCCAGGTTTTGAAGGGGACGCTAATGACTTGAGCTGGGTAGCAGAAATATGCAGAGACCCAAAGTCAGTGACAACTACAATCACATCTAGGAAACAGGAAATAAGATCGGTTGGTCTGCAGTATATAGCAAGAGCAGGGGATCTGGGGTTAAAGGTCCTGTTTGAATCTTGGCTCAGTTCCTACCTGAGACAATTCTTGGCCAATCCCATCATTTCTCTGGGCCTTGGTTTCCTTATATCATAATGAGAGGGTAGGAATAGAAAACCTCTTACGGTCTACTCCAGTTCTAGATGTGCTGCTGACACTGTCCCAGGGTCCCAAGTGCTGCCTGCCCTCAGGTGATGAGAGACGGGAAGAAAGCATGCTTACTTTAACACCAGCACCAGCAAGTCGAAATCTATAGCATCCCCCTCCAGCAGGCAACAAAGAAGCTCTGTCTGTGTGGGGCCTGCGGTGGAGGAAGAAACAGGGGATTTGGACCTCGGTGACGACGAAGGAACTGAGAAGAGGATCCCTGGGCAGGCCATGACAAAAGGCCAGGGGACAGGTGGGAGACATAAACATGGGGCTTAATCAGTGAAGCAAATGGGGCATGCTGACGCACTAATCTTCTACCCCTACCATCTCTCTTCTTGAGTCAGAGATACCTCACGGGTCAGACCTAGAGTGCAAGGAAGATGGTTCGGTCTGCCAGGGCTTAGGGTTCTATTTGTGCACGAGGATGGAGCTTACTCTGAGGAGGGTTGACCAACCTGAGCCCGTGGCCTGTAATGCTGGAATCACGAGGCCTCTGCAGACAGGGCGAGGATACCTGGCACCAAATGCAGTTACGGCAGCTCTCAACAGACGAGAGGCTGAAGTTGTCAGGGAAAGAACCTGGGAGGAAGCAGAGACACGGGAAGAAATAAGATCGGTATATTTGGAGAACTCCATGCACAGAACCTATCTTTAAGTTCTTTTGATGACGGGAAGGTGGTTGTCAAAGGACCCAAGCTAGGGCTTGGTGGAAACAGGAAGCCAGGGGATACTGCCCAGGAAGCAAGACAAACAAAATCATCTGTCTCAATTAAGTAGGAGAGAAGCAGTGATACCAGTCATTACCTCCCACTACGTGCTAAATCTCTCCCTGCAAAGCCCCAAATTTCTCCAAATAATCTAAGTCTCCAGCACATACCTGCTCAAGAAAAAGGGTCCTCACAAGTACGGTGGCATTGCTACAGCTGAGGTCCGGGGAGAGTGCCAGGAGCCGGTTGCAGAACTGCAGGAGGGCTGTGTCTGAGAGCCGGGAGAGCCGCAGCTGTGCACAAAGGTTCTCCAGCTGGGACAGAGGGCAGGTGGTGGGCAGACAGTGATTAGGTAGGAGATCAGCACAAGGTGCAGGTATAACCTCAGCTGAGCATCCCATAAGGCAACACTGAGAGAACCACGCACTCCCACCTAGTGAATCAGAAGCAGAGGACCAAGGAGTAACTCCGAGTGCCTTCCAGTCCTCCCACAACAGACGAGGAAACTGAGGTCTGGAAAGAGGCGGAGTCACCAGAGGAGAGAGGGAGACAGACAAGACTTGAATCTCAAGACTCTCCTCACCTGGCTGGGGCTGCACTCGTGGAGAAACTGCAGCTCGAGGGGTGGTGTTCCCTCTAGGCCCTAGGGGAAGAGGAATTACAGAAACATAGAACGCTAGTGCAGGAGAGATCTTAAAAATAATTTATTCAAATCCCTCCTTTGACAAAGGAAGAGACAGTCAGAGGGGAAATGGCTTTCCCGGTCACAAAGCTAGTTAATGGAGAGTCCCAATTCTTCTTGATTCTTGATTCAGGCTCTTTCTGTTCCATTCTGTTCTGTTCAAGAGAACTTCACACTTCTTCTAATTCCCTGTCTCTCTCCTGGGACTTTATACCCTTGCCTAATTTGATGTGTAGTTTCAGGAGTCTAATGGCCATGAAAGCAAAGGGATGGGGAAGGTATCAAACACTCACCTCCCATTCATTTTCCAGCAGCTCTAGCATTCGGGGTACCTGGTCCTGAGGAAGAGAGGACAGTCACAGCTGAGTCTCATCTGTTCCTACTTCCCTTCCTTGGCCCCCCTCCACTGTCTTTTTTCTATCAACTGTTGAACATACACTCTAGGCCTTGGACCGGTGAGAACTGGGAAGAAGAACAGTCACAAGAGAACAAATCAAGAAACAATGACCTTTGGAGAGAGGTCGTGACATTTCAACTTGAAAACCGTAAGAAAACATCTCACAGTCTATGAAGTAAAGGATGTGCAAATGGGTCTATGCTTCTCCCATCTCGCATACCTGAATGTGGTATCAGGGAGGCATCTTGTGGAAACCCTTGACCCCCAGGCTTTTAAAACAGAGAGCGCTGGATGACTCCTGGGCAGGCATCAACACACGTAGTGAGAGACAGGGAAGGCAGAACTCATTTTAGAGTCACATGAGTTAGCACTTATGACTTTATGTAGGTCTCTTAATCCCTCAGGGCCTCAGTTTCTTTAAGGGTAAAATGCGAAGTTTGGCCTGGATGACCTCTGACCACCCTACCGCTAGATCTGTGGTCCCAGGTATCTCTAGACTCTCTCATTTCTCCTGCCTTTCTCTAACCCGTAACTCGCCCATCCCTGACTCCTTACTCCAGTCAGCCTCTGAAGCCCCAAGCCCAGTACCTTGAGGGCTCTAGGTAACTCCAGAACCTCAGCCGGCTTCTCCTGCAGTCCATCATTCGCCCTGCTGCTGGCTGCTTCCAGAATGGGCTGGTCAGGGCTGCCCTCAGTTCTTTGGGGAAAAGCTTGGCCCCCATACATCGGTGGTTCCCGTTCATCTGTGGTGCTCTCCTGGAGCTGCTGCTGCTGCCACTGCCACTCCTCTTCTTTCTCTCCTTTCCCTTCCAGGGATCGAAGTCTGTTAGGGAGTGCTTCTCTCTCAGAGCCCTCAGGCTCCGCTTTCGGCTCCTTCCTGCATTTGCCAGGACACTGAGTACCCACGTCCTCAGTCTCCCTGAGGTCCAGAGGATAGCCTGGCCTCAATCCTCTGCCTACATGTCCACAAAGGCTCTGGAGCCGTTCCCGGCACCCTTGTGTCAGCGGGGAGGCCTCCTTGATCACCTCATCTGTAGTTAGTTCCCTCTGAAGCAATTCCCCCAGGGCCCAAAGCCAGCCATCCTGGGTAGGGTCACGCTTGGCTGCTTGGAGTAGAAGGAGGAGTCCGCTCTTAGGAAGCTCAGTACGTACGGCTAACAGTAAGGACAAGAGGTTCCTTTGGCACAGCTGGGGCAACTGCAGCAGCAGCGGCTTTCTAGGTGGCAGAGGGAAGAGAAGCAGTGAAGGCGTCACATTGAGCAAGGGATCACAACAGGGGGCAGAGGGTGGCGGGAATACAAGGAAACCAGTGGGCTAAGGTGCCCGAAGAGCAGAGCCTACAGAAATCACCATAAACAGAGGGAGAAGGAATGAGACTCATTCAGTTACCATTCAACAAAGATTTATTGAACATCTACTGTGTTCCAGGTACCAAGGGGGACTGAAAGAATTCTGATCAGCGTCCCTGCCCTGTTCCCCTCAAGGAGTCTGGAGAGCATGCACACATCATTATGACACAGGTAATAAGCTGTCCCACTTACAGATAGATTGTGCTTTAAAAGTCTGTCTGAATGTTGGCTTTCTGGAGCTCAGAACACATATTCCTAAAGAATTACAAATTATAAAGCATTATAAATGGTAGGTTCCTCGGTTAACAGAAAAGGACCACAGAGGAGTAGAACTACATCCAGGATAAGCCTGGATTCTGAGTTCTAGATGCAGAGGGCCAAGTTAGGCAAGAGAAAGAGGACCACGAGACTTTCCTGCCCCTTTTCAGGGTTAGCTGCATTAGCCCTATGTGAGCCACACATTTATTAAGCACATCCTATGTGTCAGGCACTAATACAAAATACAAGTACAAAGAAGGAAACAATCCAGTCTGGCAAGGTACTTCCATTCTAATGGGGGAGACAAGTCCATCCATATCTACAGTATAAACATACAATGAATCAATCCAAGACATCTGGCCTTCTTCCATGTCCTTCCCGCAGCCCTCCCAGCTCCAAGGCTTGCCCTTCTCTTTATCTCATTCAGGTGTACCAACCTCCCCCTTTCTCTTCCCATTTCAATCTAGTCTCAGAAACTAGTTGTGTGACCCCTGAGCAAGTCATTTAACTTGTTTGTCTCTGTTTCCTCAATTATAAAATGGGAATAACAGAACCTACCTGTAAGGGGGGGGGGGTTGTGAGGATTAAATGAGGTAGTCATAAAGTGTTTAGCACAGTAGCACAGGGTCTCCACACCACACGTGGCCTTCTAGATCCTTCGGTGCAGCTTTTTGATTGAGTCCAAGTTTACAGAAGAAGTCCTTTCATTAACAGGATTTGTTCTGTGAAGTTTGGATTCAGTTAAAGGGCCACACTTGAGGACCTGGAGGACCACGTGCACCCTCAAGGCTGCAGGTTCCCCAGCCCTGATCTGTCACATACTTCTTGTTTGTCCTTCATTTTAAGAAAAGGACAATGACACCATGGGGTGACGTCTTGACTGGCCCATGAATTGGATTTAAACGAGGCAGAGTTGCACAAAGTAGTCAGCCTCACTGTCTGTTCCCCAGTCATCAACGCCCAGTGGCAAGACAAAAGTCAGGAGGATTGGTGATAGCCCCGAATGCAGCAGATGACTTTGGGGTCCCTGATGTCTGACCAGGCTGTCAGCGTGCCACAGCTTCTCCTTCAGCTGCTTTCATGGCTGTTGGAACAAACTGTTCTCATCTACTCATTCCTCCAGGGGAAGTCTTCACATGCTTGGGGTTGACACCCCCCTAACTCACCTATGGGTGTGGCCCATCGGTTACCTTCAATCTGATAAAGACTATGTGATGAGATGGTTTTATCAGGGTGTGGGCAATGCTCATGCTACAGCTTTTTTGTTGTTTTTTTTTTGTTAGGTAATGGGGTTAAGTGACTTGTCCACCGTCACATAGCTAGTAAGTGTTATGTGTCTGAGGCTGGATTTGAACTCAGGTCCTCCTGATTCCAAGGCTGGAGCTCTCTCCACCGCACCACCTAGCTACCTAGATTGAAACTTATTAGCATTAATATATAAGTGACCAAGAGTTCTTATAAGTTTGCATTTTTTTTTCACTTTCATTCCTGTCTCCTTGTGTATATTTAGAAAGAAGTCTTTTAGTGGTCCTTGGATTGTCACTCTCTTGATGTTGGTGTCTTTGCCGGCTATATTCGCTCCTCCTACATTTCTGCTGTTTGCGGTGCTTGAGAAGCAAATCGTTCTGGTTTTCTTTCTCAAAACATTTCACATTCTTCCTTATTATTGAATTCCAGCTTTTGTCCTTTAGGGTTAGGCTCACATTTGCAACACAGATCACCCCGGGCTGCATTCTGAGCTCCACTGCTCTTCAAAACACATTATTCCATTCCCTCCTCCTTTTTCCTAGTGAGTACAAAATAGTCTTGCATTATGTGAATGTCCTTTCCTTTGTATTTGAAGGTCTTTCTCCTGATAGCTTGAAGAAGTTGTTTCCAAAATGAGTTGTCAAATTTAACTACCATGTGCCTTAGAGTCTGCAGCCTTAGGTTTTCTCCTGAAGGTGATCTGTAAAATCTTTCTATTGGAGTTTCATTTTCTATGTTCAGAAGTTCTGGGCAGTTCTGTTCTAATGCTTCCTTTGTTAGGGTGTTAAGATGTTTTGTTCTGATGTATTCTTCTGGAACACTGTCTCTCATTCAAAATCAATATAATTTGCTTGCACAGTAAGCATATTTTCTTTTAATGTTCTTGTTTTTAGTTTTCCTTCTTGTAGACTGTCCTTCACTTCTATGGGTATGCATTCTCAATCTATTGTTTTGTTTCTTTGGTGAGGCTTGCCACTGCAGATTCAAGTTTTTCTATTCTTATTTTTGTTCAGGACACAAATTCTGTTCTCATAATTCTTTTCTCTTTTAAACCACTCAGGCACAGTATGTCGTGGCTCCACGTTCTCCTTAAATTCCACTGGGTCTTCTGTCTCATCTAGTGTTACATCATTTTCCTTTATTTTGCAGTATTTATTCATAGATGTCTGAATTCATTTACTAGATCTGGAGGACAAATTTCCCTCTGTTGTTACTACTTTTTCCTGTTGATTTATCTGTTTACATTCAGGATCTTTGAGAATTCTTTTTCTTGAAATCTTTGCTACTTTTACTCCCCCCCCCCCCAAATTTTCGTTATTACTCACTTCCCAACTCCTTCCCCTCTGCTTGTGGCTTCCTTGGAGGCTGGATCTCAGAGTCTTCAGCCTCCTTCCACACTGGGCAATTCACAGTTCACAGCCTAGGTCTCTGCCCCAATAGACTTTTGAGAAGTCAGAACTGGTCCCTGCTGGGTGCTATGCTCTTTCCTTCAGGCTTAGTGGAGTGTTACACAGCCCCCTCAGGTACAGTGTTTCGTGCTGGTGATCCTGTCCCACTCTCTCTGTTCTTCAGTTCTTTGGCCCAGTACCAGCAGTTAGAGTCTGTTTACCTGATAGAGCAGTTCAGCACTTTGCAGCACTGGTGCTTCTGGGTTGTAGCCCCCAGCAGGCTTTTGTTCCTGAAGGGTTGTAGAAAAGCTAGCTATCAAGGCCTGAACAAACTTCTAGAGCCTGAAGCCAGGGTCTCCATGACTTTCAAAAGTGAGAGGTGACTGAGGTGTGGGAGTGGGTTTTGATATAAGCCTGACTCCTGTCTTTGGACTGCAGCCTCACTGCCAGTACTGCGGGAGGTGGCGAAAGGGTATGGAGTGAGCTCAGGGCCAGTAAGTGTCAGTTCTCGGGTTTGGGGAGTTTTTTTAAACCTTCTTTTGGATTCTGGGTGTCCTAGACCATGGAGACAACTGAAAATGTTTTCTCTGTAGCATATAATTTCTGTTTTAGATAAGAGGTTGTGGGGATTGGAGAAAATGTCTAGTCCATTATCTCGTCGCTTACATGACGATTCAAAAGTTTGCATTTTTCAAACATTTAATCCTAAATGGCGGGATTTCTCTTAGCCATAATAGAATGAAATGAGAAGTTCAAATAGTATGGTGAAACAGATTTTTAAGTGTCTGGATATGCTCCTTACCATGAGTCCTTCCCATTAGTCCTTCCCTTCCACTTAAGTCCCCTATGCTCTTCTATATCTTTACATCTCTTTTTGGTGTGTCTTTCCTCATTAACTTGTAAACTCCTTGAGGACATGATTGGCTTTCTTTTTCTTATCCCCACTCCCCTCCCTTAGCCCAGCGTCTGGCATGTAGTAAGCAATTAATAAATGTGTATTGTATTGTATTGTATTGTATTCTTCTCTTCCACCAATCCTGGACCTACAGATTCTCCAAAAGCTCCAATTTTTTTTTCTCTCCTTAGGAATGAATACAAGACATAGAGAAAAGGCCATATTAGGAACTGCCTGTTTCACTAAGTTGTTCAGTCAACTAGCATTTATTATTAAGCTCCTACTATGTGCTAGACACTGTGCTTAATGCTGAGGCTACAACAAAAGGCAAAAGACAGCCCTTGCTTTTCAAAGAGCTCATGGTCTAATGGGAGAGATGATGTGTAAACAATCCGCTTTTCCTGGCAAAGATACTGGGGTAATATGAACTCAGAAGATGAGTCTTCCTGACTCCATGCCCCAGCATGCTATCTACCGCATCACCTAACTGCCCCATAAACAATTATGTATACATATAAATTTGCACAATTGAAACAAACAACAAATAAATTTTAGTTGTTTAATTATTTTTCAGTTGTGTCCAACTCTTTGTAATCTCATTTGGGGTTTTCTTGGCAAAGACACTGGTTTGCCATGTCCTTCTCCAACTCATTTTACAGATGAGGAAACTGAGGCAAACAGGGTGAAGTGATTTGCCCAGAGCCATATAGATAGTAAGTGTCTGAGGCCAGATGTGAACTCATGAAAATGAGTCTTCCTGCCACCAGGCCTGTCACTCCATCCACTGTGTCATCTAGTTGCCCTGGTTAGAGATCAGTGAAAATAAAAATGCAATTTTTTTATTTCCTATCCAAGTTCACAGAGCCCCTGAAATCTATTTATAGCCTCATGCACTCCAGAACTTCTGGTTTAGAGAATGCTTTGTACTCGTTTTCCTCTGATACTGTGTCATGCTTATCTATGAACATGTCCTAACTTCTTACGGATAGGGACAGTTCTATAGTCTTTGTATCCCAAATCTTTAGCACAGAGATTTGTATATTAGAGGTGTTTAATTAATAAGCAGGCATACCCCTGGGCTTTTTTCCAGGACCTTTTCTTTTCCAACTTTATGCCCAATCTTCTCTGGAGAGTTTATCAGCTTCCTTGGGTTCAATGAGCATCTCTAAGAAGTTGGATATAAGACTGATCCCAGTGCCACTAACTGCTAGACATCTCCACATAAATATCCAACAGGCACCTCAAATTCAACATTCATCTTCTCCCTTTCCCACCTCTCTTCACTGGATTATATGATAACAGATTTGGATCTGGAAAGGAATTCTGACATCATTTAGTCCAACCTCTCTCTTTTATAGATGAGGAAACTGAGGCCCAGAGAGTTTTAATGACTTGCCCAAGTTCACATAGATAGGAAGTGGCCCAGCCAGAATTTGAACCCAGACCCTCTGGCTCCAAATCTAGATCTCTTTGCACTATATCAAATAAACAAAACATCACTAAGAATCCAATACTTAACTATTTCTGTCAAAGATACTATTATCTGTATAATTACCCAGATTTGAAATCTCAAAATCTGGGAGTCAAGTCTCTCATCTTCTATATCCAAGTAGTTGCTAAGTACAGTTGATTTTAATCTGTTAGATCCCTCATATCCAAACTCTTCTCTCTACTCACACAGCTACCACTCTAGCTCAAGCCCTCCATCACATTTCGCCAGGACTACTGTTAGTTAACAACCTCCTATTGGTCTCTCCCCATTTCCCAATGCATCTTCTACCCAGCTGAAGGTCCACACACCACCGCTTTTTAAAAAGCTTCACTGACTCTAGAATAAACACAAACTTCTGCTTGGCATTTAAGCCCTTCACAATCTGGATCCAATGCATCTTTAGTGACTGATTTCACATTATCCTCCTTCACACACTCCATCTTCCAACTGACCTGCTTCTCATTTCCTCTACAGGATATTCCATCTCTAACCTCCATGGTTTTCCGTATTCCTGGAATGCTCTTCCTCTTTATCTCTACCTCTCAGAATCCCTGGCTCCCTACCAGGGTCAACTCAACTGGAAGACTTTCTTGGTCCCGCCACCCCAAAATTACTCTGCATGCATTTTGCATGACTTATCGGAATATGTAGTTTCCATGTAGTAGAACACATGGTCCTTGAGGTTGGGGCTATTTCTTCTTTGCAACCTGAGCAGCCCCTACCACACAGCACCTAAAAAATGCTCGTTAAACTTAACTGAATTTGTTGAAAACATACAACGATGTACAGATATACCATCTGGAGATTACTTCTGGAGAAAGCCTTGAAGGCAGGGGCTGTTTTTACATCTCCAGCTTTTAGCACAGTGCCTTGCACACAGTGAGCGCAATTAAATAAAATAAATGTTTGTTATTGATTAAGAAAGCATCAAGGAGAGTGCAAGCTGAGCTGGGCCCGCGGTGATCTGGGTAGGATAATTGCAAATTTCATTTTTAGATATTTTAAATTTGCAAAGAACTTTCTGCACACACCCCTCCTCCCCCAGGGGAGAGGGGAGGGTAAGTATCCACCCCCTGCCCCACTGGACAGATGAGACGACGCCTGATTGGGCGCCCAGCCCTCCTCCGGCTGGGCACCCCGCGGGTCGGAGCAGGTGGAGGGGGCCGCCTTACTTACAACTCCAGGCGGCGGTCGAGCCCCTCGAGCACCGGCTCCTCTCGGCTCAGCGCCTCCAGGAAGGGGCCCCAGCAGAAGGGCCGCTCGGAGCCCCCAGCCCGGAGCCTCTGCAGGGCCCTGAGCGCCCCCAGTACCCCTCCGGGTCCGGACTGCAGCAGCTGCAGCAGGAGCAAGGCGGGGGGCTCCAGCCCGGCCCCCAACCGCGCCGCCCACCCCTCCGCCGGCGGACCGAGGTCAGCTCCCGGCCAGGCTGGCCGCCCGGGGGGCCGAGAGGCCATCGAGCTCGAGAAAAATGCTCGATCTCCAGGATCAGCATGACCCTGAGGTCAGGGGTCAAGGGTCAGCACCTCCCCCTTCTCGGGTCACGAGGCTCCGAGCGGGAAGCCGGCTTTACCGGCCTCAGGGCATTGGGGAGGAGGAGGTGGGAGTGCCAATCTCAAATCATTTCCGCCCTCCTCTGCCCGCCATCGCCAGGTGACGCAGGAAGGGGCGGGACTCGAAGCGAGTGGGGTGGGGCTATTACGCATGCGTAGCTCGCAGGCCGGGGTGGTGAGACGAGATCAGGGTAAGAGGGCGGGACCTACAGGTAAGTCGAAACTCGCGACCAGTAGGCGAAGCATTGGAGAAAAGGGCGGAGCCATAAGGATTAGGGGCGGGGTCCTGGTGGAGATCAGAGGTCCAGGGCGGGGAGAGAAGCCAAGCCGGGGCGGAGCCTCGGGGAGGAGCGGGGAGCCCAGGGGGCGGGACCAGCGCTAGGCGGGAGCGGGTAGGGGGCGGGGCCCCGAGGCTCCCGCGCGCTCAATCCGCCTAGTGGCGGAGCCTAGTTAGAGGCGGGGCTTTGTTTTCTCCGCCAGAGAGGAGACGTAATGAGAAGCAAGACTCGGTTTAGGCTGAGGCGGGCAGAGGATGCTCAAAGAAGGGATTTTCAGAGATCAGAATTTTAGAGGTGGAATAGCCTATGGGTGACGATGAAATCTAATATGTGCTCCCTATACACAGACTTAGGGCTAGGAGGGACCATCCCATTCCAACCCCTTCATTTTACAGATAAGGAAACTGAGGCACAGAGCTGTTTAAGCTACTAAATGTCAGGCAGGATTTGAACCTAGGGCGTCCTGACACTTAGACCAGCTCTCTTCTCACTACAACGTCGTGATGGACCAAAGTCATGGTCATGGGCTTTGAAGAGGTTGATGAACCAGGCTAAAGTGTTTAAGGCCATATCGTGTGTTTGGGGGGGGGTTCCCCAAATATGAAAGGAAGGGGTTGGAGGAGAAAGAAGCTGAAACTCCTTTGTACTGGAGGGAGAGTAACTCAATGGCTGGTAGGATAATTGCAATTTGGTGCAGGGCTCAGTGATTCCTGGAAAGGCTCCTGGGTGATGGTGGCCAACATGCTTGCTTAGACCTGCTGGCTAAGAATATGCCAGTTCCTCCTGTCTGTGTTGCAGAACATGAAGAGATGACCAGGGGTCCAGTGTAATCAAGAGTCAGGCCTTTAAAAATCCAAGGTGGAAAGAGTGAAAAGAAAGGTTCAAGGATGCAGAGAAGTGTGTGGATGAAAAAGCCAGGACAGTCTCAGTGGGAGGAGAGACTAGAAAGGAAAGTAACTGAGGAGGGATAAGCCGATGGAGATGAGAACACAGGGAGAGATGACAGCTGGCTCAGTCTCAGGGTTTGGATGGGCAACTGAGAAGAATTTACTAGTCACAGGTCTAGGGAAAATGTCATTTGGTCGGGCCTTCATCCTGCAAGGTCTTGTGACCAGAGTGGGGAAGACTTACCGTGCCATCTTTGTAGCTATATCCCAGGATGATGGAAAATGGACACACCCAGAAGTACACCCATGGAGTACATGTACTGGACTGGTCATCAGGCCCAATAGCTGAAGCTTGGTCCATTTGATAACCAGCATGGTATGAGAAGTTCCAGGCAGGGTGATACTAGGCCTTTGAGGGCCCATCCAGTAATTCTATCTGAAGGTTTAGAAGAATCACTAGAGTAGAAGTCCCACAAGGGCTAGGTTTGTGACTTCTTTTAACTCTGTATCTGTGCCTCTGATACAGATTTCTTCATAGTGTTGTTCAGTCATGTCCTACTCTTTGTGATCGTATTTGGGTGGTTTTCTTGGCAAAGATACCAGAGTGGCTTGCCATTTCCTTTTCCAGCTCATTTTATAGATGAGGAAACTGAGGCAAAGCTGGAAAAGGAAATGGCAAAGGTAGACACTCCTCACTTGATACCACAGACTTTTTTTGAAGGGTTTTGTGGAAGTCACACCCTATTAACTGAGCTAGGAGAGTTTTCAGAAAAGAAAGGAATTAAGACTTTTTTAGAATCATCTCCTAATTGATTCATTTCAAGAGTGAGGATTGTCACATGTGGCTGTAACCAGGTTTGCTTGAAGGGAAGGGTATTCTAATCATTCATCGAAATTCAGGAAACATTTATTTTTAGGCTTCATGCTAGAGCTGCAGAGGTAAGGGTTAAGAATAAACAGTACTCTGAGAAGAGCACTAGCTTTGGGATTTAGAACTGGGTTCTGCCACTTATTAGCAAGCAGACCCGGAGCAAATCACTTGTAACCTCTCTTACCTTGAAATGAGTGTCCTTAGCTGTAAAATGAGGCTAAGACTTTTACCATCTGCTGCATATGCCTCCGTGGTTAAGGCTATGATCTAATGAATACCATGCTATTGACTGCCTATCGGGAGGCTTTGTACCGAGTATGTTTGAGACACTTATTTGTAGTTGCTGGTCTCAGAGACTTCACTCTTCCTGCCTCTCACGTCTGAATATACCTTGATGTACAACAGGAGCTGGAAAAAGACCGATGTGTTACTGGCTAACACATGATGGCCAAACTTAGTTGACAGCAAAAAGTCCCAAAAGTTCCACTGTCAATTCTTGAGAAAGGTTAGGGTCAGTTGTCCTCCCTTTCCTGTGAATTAGCTTCTGCTATCTAAGTGCTATGTAAATGTAAGATTATAGTGATAGAAAGACTTGAATATAAATTGTCTCACTGACAGTCACAATAAGCAAAAAAGTGGTTCCGATAACATTCCCTTTTCTCTGATGGGCAAAGGGTCTCTGAAGGCAACTGATTGACCCACGGTCATCCAGTGTCAGAACCAGAATGCAGACCCAGGGGTCTTCCTCCTGCCTCCCCCAGTTCTTTGCTCATTTCACTAGACCTCACAGTGTCTTTCCTTTTTCTTTCTTTCAAGGCAAATCAGGGTTGAGTGACTTGCCTAAGGTGTCTGAGGGCAGATTTGAACTCGGGTTCTCCTGACTCCAAAGCCAGTGCTCTATCCACCTAGCTGCCCCCACAGTGCCTTTCCTAAGGACACTTTTGATAGAGGAGGGAGTGGAGGGAAGGAATCTGAGGAAAACCAAGGATGAGGTGCCACCTGGTGGAGAGGGAGCTAAGGACACATAAATACATATACTTTATCTACCTGACATTTGTTCAGGTCTGGCACTGCATCTCCTGAGGAGCCAGCTAAGTTAAACAGATGACAGACATCAGCTCTAGTGATTTAAACTAGTTTAATTTGTTTCAGAATCATCATATAAAAAGTTAAAAACTAGGGCCCAAGGAGAACAGAAAGTGATGGGGACCTTCCTCATGGCCCAGGATCTAGCCATTCATTTCTTCTGCAACTGTCCTGACTCCAAATGTGCCATCAGCGCAGACCATGGAGTAGATGGCTTCTTTCCATGTGAACTGTTACTTATAGTGGTCCTCTGCCTCTGAAGAGCTTTACTGGATAGAGCCTCTGTTTTACAACTTCTCCATCTCTACATCAGAATCGCTGGATTTGGAATAGGTTATTTTTCTTCCTCATTATGGATATGCTGATGGTATGGTCAAAGAAATAGATTTCTTCATCTTCATCATCTGAGTTGTCTGATGGTTCACTGGGAATCAGAACCTGGGGGAGGAGACTGAACCGAGTTGAACCAGGCATCCCATTATTACCAACCGAGTCTCCACCCTACAAATCCCTTTTCCCAACCCAGACTACTCACAGAATCCCTGTTCTTTGGCCAGGACTCAGGGAACTGGTGCTGGTAGATGCAGTCAGATTGGAAAGGACAGCGACCTTTTCTTTGTATGAAAAACTTACAATGGATCTGGCTGTGAGAGCATGAGGACAGAGGGGGGTACAAAGGAAAGGAGTATTAGTCTCATCCCCAATAGTCCTTGTGAAAACAAGTTTAAAAAAATCCTGTTCCATTTTTCCTAGGCTAAAATTGGTTCTATAGTTTTGGTCTCGGGATCATAGAATTCAGAACCAAAAAGGACTTTTTTTTTTTTGGGTGAGGCAATTGGGGTTAAGTGACTTGCCCAGGGTCACACAGCTAGTAAATGTCTGAATTTGACATTTGAATTTGAACTCAGGTCCTCCTGCCTCCAGGGCTGGTGCTCTATCCACTGCGACATCTAGCTGCCCCCAAAAAGGGCTTTTAAAGATCTAATTAAAACCTCATTTTATAGAGGACATTAAAGATCAGTGGAAGTAAGGGACTTACTTTCCCAAGTCTGCCTTGGTAGAGTCAAAGTTCAGGACTTCATATTCCTGATTAAGCATTTTTCCCCTACACTGTAGCCCTGTAGCTTGGAGCACTTAAGTCCCAGCGTCATTGAGTCAATCTTGAAATAAAAGTTTTAAAACAATCTCTCAGCTTTGACTGAAAGGTACACTCTGTGTGTGCGTGTGTGTGTGTGTGTGTGTGTGTGTGTGTGTTTGAGAGTGTATAAGAAGGAATGTGAGTGTGAGAGAGCAAGTGTATTGTGTATTGAGTGTGTGTGTGAGAGTGAGTGAGACTATGTGCCAGTGTTGTGTCAGTGTTATGTGAATGTTGAGTGAGAAAGGAGGGAGAAAGAGAGATACCTTATACATACACCTCAAAGGTACGTGGGGAATTTAGGTTAAGTAACAGATGATTGGGGTAGTGAAGGGGCCAGCCCAGGGAGACTGCATGATGAAAAGATGGCATTTGAGCTGAACCCTGAAGGGGAGTTGAACATGTTGGGGGCACAGAGGGGGTGCAGGGTAAAAGTCATCAGTCACTAAACAGACCGAGTAAAGACTCCAAGGTAAACTAGAACATGGTATACCTACAGAATAAGCAGACCTGTTCTCTAGGGTGCCGGACATGGAAGCAGCATCAGATGAGATAAGAATAAAAAATTGAGAGCCAACAACTGGGAGGTTGTTAACTCTTGGGGCAGGGATCAGTAAAGGCCACTTTTTCATCTTTGTTATCACTAGCCTTTGTATCATCAAACTTTGCATCACAGATCACTTTGTATCTGGGGCTTGAGCTGGTAGATATTATGGAACCAGCGAGGAGCTGCTGATGTGGGATGGGGTGGGGAGGACGTGTCAGAACTGGGCTTTCTCTAGGAGCATTAACCTGGCAGCAGTGTATATAAGGGAGATTTGGAGGCAGTGAGATGGCAAAAGGCTATTACAACAACCCAGGAAATGAAGCTGGAATGAGGTCGGAGCAGTTGGAGAAGAGGACAAAAATGAAAGGGGTCACAGAGGTAGAAATGATAGGATTTGGCAACCAGTTTGTTTTCTAGACTGGGGAAGACTGCCACCTGGTGGCAACAAATATACTGCAAGGGACAGACATCAAACCCAGAGTTTCTAGGATGCCAGAGCTAGAAGAAACCTTAGCTAAGGTCTCCAGTCCCAACCTCCTCATTTTAGAGGGCCAAACTGGAATCCAGAGAGGTAAGGAGTGCCCAGAAAATTAGAGACAGAGGCAGGTCTAGAACCCAGGCCTCTGGATTCTCAATATTGATACTTCTACTCTAAGGGAATCTAAACCAACATAGATCACCAACCTTTAAAGTAAGGCAGCCAGGTGGCACAGTGGCTATAGTATAGGACCCTAAGTCAGGTCAAGTCAGGAAGACCCGAGTTCAAATTCTGCCTCAAAACACTCCCTAGCTGTGTGTGACCCTGGGCAAGCTATTTAATCTCTCTGTGCTTCATCTGAAAAAAGGGGATAATAATAGCACCTGCCTTCCCCAGGGTTGCTGTGAGGGCTAAGTTAACACATGTAAAGTGCTTTGCAAACCTTAAAGCAAAAATATAAATGCTGGTATTGTTTTCATTTTCAAAAATGTTAGCAATGATCCATCTCACCTTGTTCGATCCTTAAAGTTCTTGATGAGTTGCTCCTTCTCAGGCCCCTTGCTTACCCAGAATTTATAGGGGACAAAGTAGTTGGAACGAACTCTACACTCTGGACAGGCCCTGCCGAGGTGGGGAGATTGTCTTAGGGTGTAGAGCCTATCCTAAAGCCCCTTTCTCAGATTCACCACCACTACCACCACCATTTTCCACATTCTCTAGCTCCCCATGGTCTTCTCTCAGGCTCTGCCCTCCCGTCCGTCCTCCCCTGCTTGACCTTTCTGCCTTCCTCTCTTTGTCTTCTTCCCTTCTCTGCTCCCCCTCTCCTCCCCTCCTCCCCATAGCCACGGCACTCACTTGATGATGTTTTCAGGGCAATTTCCTCTGCTCTGGCGCCAGGTGCGGAGACAGTTCACACAGTAGGCATGGGAACAGTTGGGTAGAATGGCAAAGAAACGGTCTGCTGGGGGTTTGTCCCAAACTTTCTCCATACAGATGCCACACACCATATCCTGGCTGTTCTCCTAGTTTGGCAAGCACCACAGCCAGCCAAGGTCAGCCCACCCACATTCTAGCCTGCCTGTCACCTTCTCACCGACCCCTCTAAGGAACTGGGTTGTAGGGTTCCTTTCCCTTCCTTCCCCGAGCCCAGGACAACTGGGAACACACTGAGGCTCCTGTTAGTATTTACTCTTGTACTCCTCTCCCTGCCCCTTTCCCCAGCCTTCCATTTTAATCCTACCATTATGTCTGGAGTCCGAGTTCTTGGGAGCCTGGAAACGTTCTGATCTTGGAAGGAATCAGGATGTGCTGCTGGTTTGGGATTAGGCTGGGGACCAGGTTCCAGGGTGGAATTAAGATTTAGATCACCTACTACAAGAAGAGACTGGCTTCAGGTAGGTAAAGGTGGGTCAAGCCCTCCCCTTTCAGGCTGAGAAAGGAAGCATAATCCTGGTTGACCTTTTGGTCATTTCCCCTTTGCCCCTTTCCAACCACCCCAATCCTTTTGTTAACTCACTTGGTACATCCAGAGGGTTAGAGAAAGTGCTGTCAACCGCCTCCTTTGTGTCCAGATGTTTTATACCAGACCTCCTGCTATGATGGGCACATGGTGGACTAAGCTCCTCAGGTACTGAATGCAGACTGGCCAGCTCAGAGTTTGACCCCAGCTCTGGCTTAGGCTCTTGCAGGGACAGGGGGGGCTCTGTGAGGCATTCTGAGGAGCTTACAGCCTGGGAGTGCTGATACCTATAGGAGAAAAAGAGGTATTCCTGGACACGGTGGGCACAGCTTGGTTCCCCCCGGGGAAAGTGGGGAAGGGCAGCTCTTTTTCTGAATGCTTTGGATGAGGCTAGCCAGCCTCATACTCTGAGCTTTGAGGAAAGCTGAGTAGTTAGTCTCCCCAACCCCAACCCCACCTTTCATTAGATAGTAGGCAGGAAAGAATTTGAGGATGGTCAGCTCTTACCTGCAATCATTTCCACGAAAACAGAACCCCTGCTGAAAGTACCTGCAGACTGGCTGTGACTGTCTGTCATGAGAAAAGGAGCAATTCTGTCCCTGGTGACAGAATCCCCGGGCAAAATACCTGTGATATAATAGATGGGACACTCAGCACCTAGGCCTATGGCCCCAGGCCTGGTCTGTGCATCCGGACAAAGCCTTGTCTCTGTCCTCTCCAGTGTAATCATAATTCTTCTCCATGAGGTTATCATGAATAGATATGGATGTAAAAGGTCATGGAATGTTAATTCAATTAAGTAAACAGAATGAGTTGTAAGCAGAACTGGGAGATTTGAGCCCAGGCGCTTTGCCTCCTCATTACTTGGATGACCGTGGCTAAATCACTTCATCTGTCAGGACCTCAGGTTCCTTATGGGATCATATGGAAGGCGTCTCCCAGAAGCCGTCTATAAAACTTCAGTGAACATAAGTTCCCTTTAAGCCTATTGAATGAGAATTTTCTGTAGCATCTCCAAGTAGTTATGAAACCATGCTGACTGGTTCTATGCAAATTGATGTTATATAATCTCAACTGGGCCCTCATTGCAGCAAGGCAATCTTTTTATATCTCCCTAACTGTTCACTATCCCACTCACCAAATTGTCTACTCCAGATCTTTTCATCCCTCCTCAAATCTCCCCTCCACCCTCTAAAACTGAGAGGCAAGGGCCTCAACTTTCATTGGGAACAAAAATAAAAAACAAAAACAGAGGTTATTTTGTGAGAACTCTCTCTTCTGTCCTTGTCTTACATCACTCAAATACCTTTCCCCACTATCTTCAACTTAGCCTGTCTCACATGAAGAGGCAGCCCTTTTCCTTGCCAAGAAAAATTATCGACATATACAAGTGATCCCATTCCATACTACCTTCTCCAACAAACTGACCCCTCTATCATTCCTGCTCTCAATCTTGTTTTAACTTTTTTGTTTGTTTGTAGGCAATGGGGTTAAGTACTTGTCCAGGGTCACACAACTAGTAGGTGTGGGAGGCCAGATTTGAACTTAGGTCCTCCTGACTCTAGGATAGATGCTCTAACTACTGCTGCCACCTAGGTGCCCAGCCACTCTTCAATCTTTGATCTCTTTCTATTGGCCGATTCCCTGCTGCCTACAAACATGCCCCTGTCTCTTCCATCCTCAAAAAACCCCTCCCTTGATCATCCTTCCCTGCTAGCTGTACTTCTCCTTTTGCGGCTAATCTCCCTGAGAAGGCTGTCCAGCCTCTATTTTCTTTCATCTTTCACTCTCTTCCTAACTCTGCGGTCTGACTTCTGATCTCATCATTCAACTAAAGCTGCTCTTTCTAGTTATCAGGGAGCTTTGACTCGGCAAATCTTATGATATTGTTGTGCCTTCTCGATAGTCTTTGTTTCTGTGACACTGCTGTCTCCTGATTCTCCTCTTCTACCTGCTGACCACTCCTTCTCAGTGTCATTTGCTGGATCTTCATCCAGGTCACAGCCACTCACTCTGGGCTCTGTCCTGGGTCCTCTCTTCTGATCTGTTTTATTTGGTTGTCTTATCAGCTCCGATGGATTCAATTACCATCATCTCCATGAAGATGATTCTCACATCTGTTCATGCAACCCTAACCTTTCCTCATCCCCAGCTGTCCACTGGACATATCAAACTGGATATCTCATAGAAGTCCAACTTAACACATTCAAAACTGAATCCCCCCAAATCCTCCCCTCTTTCTAATTTCCCTAATGCTGTCAAGGGCACCACGATCCTCCCAAGTCACTCAGACTCACAAACATCTTCTACTCTTCTCACTACTATCACTCTTCTAGAGCCAATCCATTGCCATGTCCTAGTCTTTCTACCTAATTATCCTTCTCACTTGCTGGCTTTTCTTGCCCCCTTAAGATGTATGTTCCACAAGGGTCTTTTACTGGCTCTCTCTCCTGTCTCTACATCTCTCCCTCGACAATCTCATTCACCACCACAGATTCAACTACATCTCAATTTAGATGACTCCAAAAGCTTTATCTGTAATGTTGACATCTTTTCTGGGTCCTGACCTTCCACCTTCATGTAGCTGGCTTTTAGACAATGTGTATATACCAGAACCTCAAATTTATTCTGTCAAAAAAAAAAAAGCTCTTTTGTTTTCACATGCAACTGGGAAGTAAGATATACAGAAAATGGGGTATAGAAATCTATCCTGCCCTACAGGAAAATTGAAGGGGAAGGGGATAAGAGAAGGGGGGAAGAGATAGAAGGGAGGGCAGATTAGGAGGAGGGGTATTCAGAATGCAGGCCATCATGCGGTGGGGGGAGGGGCGAGATGGGAAGAAAATTTTGGAACTCAAAATCTTGTGGAAGTAAATGTTGAAAACTAAAAATAAATTAATTAATTAAAAAATAAAAAAAAAACCCAAGCTCTTTATCTCCCACCTAAACTTATCGCTCCTATTGTGCCTATTCATTCCCATTTTGTATATGTATAGCCTATATAACAAATGTGTATTTATGTATCCTGTATATGTACCTTATTCCTAAGCATCCTGTTTATTACTGTTGTGCCTACCACTCTCTCTCCCATATTTATGAACTTAAGAGTTATTTTCCGTATTTACTACCCCTTATAGTTAAATCTGTTGCAGTGTCCTCTCAGTTTTACCTTTGTATTATGTCATCCCTTTCCCTTCACTCACATAACTTCCCATTCCTTTAGAATGTAAAGTCCTATGGGGCAGAAGACTGTTTCCATTTTGTGTTTCCCAAGGGATACAAACATTTAATTTTTTTTGATCCATTTATACACTTAACTATAAAACAAAATGAGATATGTTGGCAAGCTGTCCCCCCCATAGACTATAAGGTCCATGAGGAAAAAGGACTGTGTCTTATTCAATTTTTTATATTTCCCCAAGTGTCTATAAGCATAAACGGGTCATAAATGAGCTTTCTAAAAAAAAAAAAGTATCAGGATCAGATGGATTTACAAGTGAATTCTACCAAACATTTAAAGATCAAGTAATTCCAAATCAACTATAAAGGGTCTATGAAGGAAGATGCTATCCACATCCAGAGAAAGAACTGATAAACAGATGTATAGTTTTATATATGTGTGTGTATTTGTGTCTAATGGTAGCTTTTCTAGGGTGAGGTGGGGAAGGAGGGAGAAAAAAAATTGCATAGCAGAGAACAAAAGAAAAATTAGAAGGAGCTACAGAAAAGCAAGGTAGCTTTGAAAATGATGTGTAGTATTTGTTACGTAGGTTTTTAAAAGAAAAGTAAACAGGATGAAATGGAAATTTTGTGGCTTTATACTGAATCCTCTTCTTATGTTGTGCTGTGTACATGGAAATGTCCTTTTCTTTTTCTTTGTATTTAAATTCAAAATGATAAAAATAAAAAACACCTATAGCACAGTAGGTACTTAATTGTCAAATGAATGACTCTAAGGTGAGGAAACCAAGGTATAAAATTAGGAGATGATAGAAGCCAGGCCTAAGCGCCTAGTCTTTGGACTCTTGGTAGAGTGCTCTAAGGCAGGCAGACCTTTTTTGGGAGGGGAGGAGAGGGCACAGGAATAAAGGCACAAAGGCTGGACAAGAAGAGAGAAATTATTATCAGGAAATAATGAGAGAAGTTTGGATAGGTCTGTTAAAGCCAAATTATAGAAGGCTGTGAAAGCAGCAAAAGAGTTTGATGTGGATATCAAACATCTCACTTCCTACCCAACTCATCCCCCTCAACTGGCAAAATCTCCCCCTCCCCCCACTTTCAGCTTTCTTTTTGTGTTTTCTCCCCCTTCTTCTCCCAAAATTAGATTGTAAGCCCCTAGAAGGCAGGGACTATTTTTCTTTCATATTTTTATCCCCAGTGCCTAGCCCAGAGCCTAGCACATAGTAGGTGCTTAATAAATTTTTGTTGACTGACTAAATACGAAGGAGAAACTGGGAGCTATTGAAAGTTTCTAAACAAAAAACGGTTTCTGGGTTTGGAGTCAATACCTGAGTTAAAATTCCAGCTCTGCTATTTTACTACATGAATAACCTTGACCTGGTCACTCCCCTTTTCTTGGCATGTTGCCTTATCTGCAAAATGAGGTTGGACTCCAACTCTCTAGTTTGATTAACAAAATCCCTCTCTAGTTTGATGATTTCATGATCCTGTCATCATAAACATCCCCAAAAGCAGGGGGTTTTTCTATTTCTTAAAGAGGCCTATTCACTGAATGGGTATTGCCTCACTCAAAGTGAGAACCTGAAAAGACCTTAGCTTAAAAGGGCCAAGGTCTCCCTTTGCATCCTGATTGATATCTGGCCACTGGACCCAGATGGCTCTGGAGGAAAAAGTGAGGCTGGTGACCTTGCCCAGCCCTCCCTCACTCAAAGTCAATTGCTAGTCATGTCATCACCTCCCTGATGTCATGGTATTCTTCAAGAACCAAGCACAAAAACAACCTGTGCGTCTCACAGTATTTTTAAATGCATAAAATAAAATGCATAGGATTACAAAGGAATTAATTATACTGAAATACAGTTAGCACAATGTTAAAAAAAAATAAGTTCACAGACCCCAGGGTTAGGAAGTAGAATGTCTGGTGGGTTGGCATGGGGTATAAAAACATAAGGAAGCTCAGGATTTAGAGTCCAAGAGGCAGCTTGGTAAGGGGCAACTAAGTGTCTAGACTTATAGTTCATAGAATGCCAGGTCTGGAATCAGGAAGACTCATCTTCTGGAGTTCAAATCTGCCCTCAAGACACTTACTAGCTGTGTGACCCTGAGAAAATCACTTTACCCTGTTTGCCTCAGTTTCCTCATCTGTAAAATGAGCTGGAGAAGGAAATGACAAATCACTCCAATATCTTTGCCAAGAAAACCCCGAATGGGGTCACGAAAAGTCTGAAACAACTGAACAACAACAAAAATTTTTGGTAAAGATGTGAGGCGGAAAGGGGGCAGGTGGGAGGTGACTACAGAGTTTAAGGTGAGAAGAAAAGGTCCAGGATAGCAGGGAAATAAAGGAGGGAACGGACAACTTCAGAATGCATCTCGGACTGCATACACAGCATGGTAGTATACACATCAAATAGGGATTCAAGTAAATGTTGAATTGAATTCTAATTCCCCAGAGTCCCCGGGAGGAATTTTAGGGATCACCTTGGCCAACTCTTGTTATTTTATAGGATAAGTAAACCAAAGGAGGGAAAGTGATTTAGCCAAGGTTTCCATAGCAGGTTCCTGGTTGGGAAAAGTGCTTGGTATGCCTTTAGGAAATTTATAAACAAGAGCTATTATTATAAGCTTGAGAAATGGGACTAGATAACAGGTCTTCAGGCTCCTCATCCCAACATTCCTCAGAGACTACTACCACCTGTGTGGACATTTCAGAGTTACTCAAAGGTGACTCACTGAAAGGAGAAATGTGACCATAAAAAGAAAGAAAAAAAAAAAAGAACCTTTCCTCTATAGGTCTGCCAAGGTTTTCACCATGAAGTTCACTTTTGGGGTTCAGGCGCCATCTTCAGAAAATTTCCATTAGAGGAATTTTACTGGAAGCCTTTCCCAAATCCCCCCCCCTTTAAAATTGTACATGTAAATACAAAATGAGGGGAAAAAAAACAACCCAAAACATTGCCGTGTACACAGCAGACCCTAAGAGAGGATTCAATATAAAACAATAAATTTCCATTTCAAGAAAACCTATATAATAAATACTACACGTTGTTTTCAAAGCTGCCCAGCTTTTCTCTGCTTCCTTCTTGGTTGTCTTTTGACCTCTGCTGTTTTCTTTCTACTTTATTTTTTTCTCTCCCTCCCTCCTTCTCCCCTCTACCCCAAGAAGGCTACAATTAAGTGTGGATATGTGTGTGTGTGTATGTATATATATATATACATACACACACACACATATATACATGCACATATACCTAGATATCTATAAACAGACATATACACACACACACACACTCATACACATATATGTAAGCCTGTACTATGCTTATTTCCTCCTATCATCTGTTTCTCTGTAGGCAGACAGAATCTTCCTTCATATAACTCCAAGTCTTTCCATGTTTTTCTAAATCAACCAGCTCATCATTTCCTATACCACAACAATATTCCTTTCTGGATTCTCCCAACCCCTCTTAATGCCTTCCCTCTGTTACTTCTTATTTATCCTGTATATAGCTTGTTTTGTATATCTTTACTTACATGGAGTCTTCCCCCATTAGATTATAAGCTCCTTAAGGGCAGGGAACATCTTTTGCCTCTTGTGTCCCTAGCACTTATTGTATATTGTAATACCTAGTAGGAACTTAATAAATATTTAGTTATTGATTGATTAGATTAAGACTAGTGGGAGTCTTAGTTTCCAGTTCTGGCTGTGCCATTTTAATTCAACACCCATAAATGCAACCAACCTGTACTTTAAGCTACGAAGACCAAAAAAAAAAAAAACCCAAAAAACCAAAGCAAAATCCACCCTCAAGGAACTTATATTTTGCTGGAGGGGGTGGCAGGGAAGTGTAAAGAAAGGGGACCATGTCTACAAATTAAGAACATACAAAATGAGTACACAGTAATGTCAGGCTAGGGGTGAGGGTTTAGGGGGGCACTGACAAGGAGGGGTAGTCAGGAAAGTCTCTTGGAGGTGGCCCCTGGCTAACTATGTGTGTGTGTGAGTGAGACTAAACCTCTCCTACTCAAAGGGAGAGGATTAAAGTAAAGTAGATGGACACCAAAGTCCTTTATCAATTCTAACAATGCATGAACCTTCCCTTTCCCCCCATTTTCTTTAGGCTGCCCTACCCAGGTATATTCTACCAAGAGCCCCAATATCCAGCTACAAACACAGAATCTAAAACATCATCGATTTTTAGCTTCTGGAAGGGGTCCTTTTTTATTTATTTATTTTTTAAATTAATTTATTTTGATTTGGAAGGGGTCTTAAAGGTGACTGAGACTCTAACTTTACCAAGGAAGAAACTGAGTCCCGGGGAAGTGATGAACCTGCTCAAAGGTCCCAGAGGTTATAAAATAGCTGAGCCAAGATTCTGACCCAAATTTTCTGACCCAAAGATTCCGAACTAAAAATCCAGCACACTCACCCCCTTACCCTCTCTTACATGAGTAATTGAACTAATGCTTCTCAGTGACTGTTGAATTTCAAAAAACTAAAGGCTGAGCCACTAACTAGAATGTATGATCTTAGATAAGTCACTTACACTTTTGAGTTTCACTTTTTTCCCCTTGAAAAGGAGATTTGACTAAGTGGTTTCCAAGGAAGGTAGGTGTGGTTAGGAGAACAGTCCCTCCCCCACTTAGGAACCCCATCCCCTGCCCTTCATACCTGCACCGAGGACGACGACTATCATTGCTGCTCCTTTGGCCACTACCACTGTTACCACCACCAGAATCAGCCATCCAAACTGGAGTCACTGGAAAGAATGCCCACCAATTATTTATCCTGACCTTGCAAGGGCCAAGCCAATGGGAAGAGGAGGGGCCTATCACTAATCAGCCTCAAGATTAAACAAAAGCACTTTCCTTTCCCTGACCCACAAAGCAGCTAGGACCTGTACTAGATGGGATAAAGTTCAGGAGTAAGGGTTTGGAGATTCAATCAAACAGTTAACATATTTAAGCTCCTAATTTGTACTATGTTAAGGATACAAAAAGATATCTGCTCTCAGGGTGTTCACAATCTAATGAAGGAGACAAAAAATAAACATATAAACAAGCTATATACAGGATAAACAGGAAATAGTTAACAGAGGGGCTCTGGAATTAAGAGAAATTGGGAAAGACTTCCTGTAGAAGATGGTAAAGTGCCATATTCTAGATGGGATTTAAAAGAAGCCAGGGAAGTCAGTAGGCAGAGTTCCCAGCCACTGGGAAGAGCCAGAGAAAATGCCCTGAGCCAAGAGATGGGATGTCTTGTTCATGGAAGAGCCAGGAAGCCAATGTCACTGGATTGAAGAGTATGTACTGGGGAGTATGGCTTAAGAAGACTGGAAAGGTAGGAAGGGACTAGGTTATGAAAGGCTCTGCCTAGCAGAGGATTGGGTATTTGATCTGGGAGAATTCGGAGGATGACAAGACACCCATCGGAGGAAAGCTGATGATTGCCTATTGACGGTATCACCCATTTGGCATTTATGTATTGCCATGGAATGGCAGAACTGGAATAATGCTAAGAATCGTCATTAAGGATAGCTTATATTTGCACTTTGCTTGGCTTTTGAGCCCACAACAGTCCCAGTGAGGTAGGCAGTAGAGGGATATTAGAGATCACATTACAGCATCCAATCCCTTCCTTTTACAAATGAGGCCACCTGAGGCTCAGAGATGGCAACCCTCATGCCCCAGGTCACCCCATGGCAGAGCCTGAACTGAGACGTACATGTGTGTGTGAGTGTGTGTGTGTGTGTGTGTTAGTCATGACACCAAGAATTCTATAAAGCATCTTCTAGGCAGGAACTAGGTTCTCCCGTTCTCATCCTGCCGGCCCCACTACCTGAGCCTAGCACTGGGTGGGGCACTTTGTGAACAGCTCCCCAAGTATGCAATCACTGGGTGAGGGCTTGTTGATTGGTGGAGAATTGGGAGAAGCTGGGGTAAATAAAGAGTTTTACTAGGCTGCTGTGTCTTGGGGATTTACCCCAGGTGGGTCTTTGAGTGCTGGCTGAGTTCAGCATAGGCTAAGGGGAGAAACCTTGGGGTTTTAGGAGATGCTGCCTGAATTGAACTTGGAAAGGCGAGTTCTCCTAGGCCTGCTGAAGGAGGGGAAGAAGCAAGGAAGGCACTAACTAACATTAAGAGGGGTTGGGAAGTACTTCTTGTAGAAGCTGGGATTTTAGCTGGGACTTGAAGCAAGCCAGGGGAGACAGAAAGCAGAGATGAGGAGCAAATTCAGTTTTAAAAAAATGAATGACACTTTGTGAATCTGGGAAAGGGGTACCTCCTCTCTCTGAGAAAGCCTTACGGTGCAGTGGGCCAAGGTAGTCTCTAGGAAAGGGCCTCCTGGTGAAGGGGCCCTAGTTGCAGCCTTTGCCTACACTATTCAATTCATCACACAAATGTTCAATATCTACTATGTGCAAGGCAGTGTGGAGAGTATTTGCCCTCAGAAACTTTGTATTCAACTGAGGCGGTGGGGTGGGGGTGTTGTAACATGTACATGGGATAGGACTAGACCTGGACCTGTGAATTCATAGGTATTCAATCATTTTTTCAGTCTTGTCTGACTCTTTGTGACCCCACTTGGAGTTTCCTTGGCAAAGATACTGGAGTGGTGTGCCATTTCCTTCTCCAGCTCATTTTACAGATGAGGAAATTGGGGCAAATACGGTCAAGTGACTTGCCCAGGGTCATACAGCTGGTAAGTGTCTGAGGTTGGATTTGAACTCAGGGCTTCTTGATTCCAGGCCTGGTGCTCTATCTACTGTGCTGCCTAGCTTCCCTTTCATAGGTATGGGGAATTCCCAATGCAAGTTGGCATCTACAACCTTAAGGATTTGCCTAGAGCAACCCAAACTCAATAGAAATGAGGGCCATTAAGTCGATGCAGTTTTAAAATGTAATATTATTATGTTTTACTGTATTTTTATTTATTTTGTTAACTATTTCCCAAACTGCATTTTAATCTGGTTCTGGAGGCACTTAGGAGTGTTGCCAGTGTGGACACCTCTGGCCTAGAGCACTTATAGATTACATGCCATTATTGGTCCAGTGTCACACAGCCAGTAATTGCTAGAGGCAGTACCCCAAACCCAGGTGTTCCTGGCTTTTTGGCTGGCACTCTATTTACTATACCAGGATGTACACAGATAAGTATCATGCAGGGTAGGGAGTGAAGGGGGCAAAAGAGGGGTCAAAGGACTCTAAGAATATCTGAGGAGGGAAAGGGCCCTTAAAGCCTAACACTGGGCTAGGTGCCTAAAGGACTATAAAGAAGAAGGGTTCGGGGCAGCTAGGTGGTGCATTGGATAGAGCTCTGGCCTTGGAGTCAGGAGGACCTGAGTTCAAATCCAGCCTCAGACACTTGTCACTTAACTAGCTGTGTAACCCTGGGCAAGTCACTTAACCCCGATTGCCTCACTAAAAAAAAAAAGAAGAAGAAGAAGAAGAAGTGTCTATCTGCTCACAAGTTGTTGCTGCTTGGGTAGACAAAACAAATAAATATACATAAATTTCACAATTCAAGACAACAATATGAGACATGATACAAGACAGCACTGTCTAATTAGATATCAAGTTAAGTGAAACAGGAGTTCTGAGAAGTCACTGAGGGCAGGAGAGGTGTGGGAAGGCTTCATACAGGCCTTAGGACTAGAGCCAAGCCTCGTGAGGTAGCGGGGTCTGTCTGAGAGGAGTCAGACGATATGTAGTAGATGCTGGCAGGGACACACCACTGACCCTGAGGAAGTGACTTAACATCTTGTAACCTAATTTACAAGCAAGGATAGTACTGCATTTTCTACCCTAGAGTTGTTTTGAAGAAAGTACTTTATAGACCTTAACTTGCCATGAAAATATTTATTATTGTTGTTATTATTTTAATATTAATTATGGAAGCATGAGGAGGCTGTGGAATAGTGGAAGGAGAGGGGGAAGAGATTGCCAAGGGAGGGGGTCAACCACAGTGGAATGTACAGGGCACATTATGTGGCAAGTATGTTGTCTGTTTTACAAGCCTTTAATAACTAATCATTGATTGAAGTGAGTAGACTGGTCTCCCTGGAGCGGAGGTTTCCTAAATATGGGAGCAGGGGGCGATAAGATTTAAAAGGTAGGCTATGGTTTTGACCCATTTGTTACTGAGGTATTCTCCAAGCCCCTCCAACTTTCCAACTGTAGCGGCTGGCCCAGCCTAGGAAAATGTGGGTGTGGGCTCTGTAGGGGTGTCTGCCTTACCTGCAGATCTATATTCTCAGTTTTCCCTTCTGCTGTAGGCTTTGATGAATTTTCAGATGTCCACTGTGTGTTTGTCAAGTAAGCAAAATTGTGAAGTGAGTGAAGAGTCTTTATGATGCTCTCCAACCTTTCATTTCTACAGCCCTCTACCCTCTTGTGGGAACCTCCTGCTTTTGGTATCCAGTATACCCTTGTGTTGTTCTGGACAATGTACTCACTGTAGGGTCCCATTCAGGCCTGTCTTCCCCAGGAGGCCCCTCATGCACACATGCAACAAAACTTATCTGTCCTGTGCCCCATTGCCTCCTTGAAAAGCTTTGTGGTTAAAAAACCTCAAACATCCCTTCTTGAAGAGATCTTTCCTGATTCCCAAGGTTGTTAGTTACCCCCTCCCCCCATGATACATCCAAGAAGAGGGGCTTTGGGGCCTCAATAATATCTCTGTAAGACTAATCAATCAAACAGTCTTTATTAAGTACCTACATGCTAAGCTCTGAGGATACAAAGAGACAGTTCCTACAACTCAAGGAGCTTACAACCTAATGGGACAGACACCATGCAAACAAATTTATGCAAAGCATACTATGTGTGGGATAAATAGGAAATAATTAACAGGGGGAAAGCTCTAGAATTACGAGCATTTAGGGAAGGCTTCCTGTAAATGGTGAGATTTTAGCTGGGACTTAAAGGAAGCCAGGGAAATCAGTAGTCGGAGATGAAGAGGGAGACCATTCCAGGCATGGGGTACAGTCAAGAGAAAATGCCTGAAGCTGAGAGATAGTATCTTGTTCCTAGAACAGCCGGGAGGCCAGTGTTACTGGATCCAAGAGTAAGTGTCAGGGATAAAGTATAAGAAAAATGGAGTCTGCTTCCAGGAACCAAGATGGCGGAGTAAGAAGTAAGTCACTTTCACCCCCATCATTGACCTCTGGAAGCCCAGAAAATATCAGCCCAGGAAAAACCCTGAGCCAGCACAAAGATAGGGCACAGAGGTCTTGTACCCCAGGAAACTTGGAGGATTAATGGTAAAGGCCCCTCTCAATGTGGGGGAGGAGGGCAATACAGGACTGGAGGCATCCCAGCAAGCCAGCAGCAAGCCCTACCTCAGCATACCAGGGGAAGATCCTGAGACCCAGGTTGGTGAAGCAGGCAAGTGCCAACACCAGGACCCCCTGAGACCCTCAATACAGGAAGGGAAACTGGTAGACACCAGCTTGGAAAACAACCATGGGTGACAACATTCTCCAGCAGCAAAATCACCCAGTGTCTCAACACAACTCTGGGAAGCACAACTCCAGAAGGCAAAGCTCCAGGCTGATAGACATCTATGAGCATCAAAAACATCCCTGTGCAAGGCCAAGGAGAGCAGAAGCCAAACATTCAAGTGCAAGGCCCTGGTAAGCAGGAAAAGAAATTTGGATAAATGCTTCCTTTACTCCAGCAGGAGAACTCTCTCTCTCTCTCTCTCTCTCTCTCTCTCTCTGTGTATATATATATATATATATATA